ACTACCACACCCAAGCGAGCGTTTTAAGATATACATAAACGTGTAGATCAGTGACTAGAGACGTTGCGACGACGCAGCAGGGCTTCGCTTCGCTCAGCTCTGCTAGCCGCCGCTGCCGTCCCCTTCTCATTGCCGCTTTTCCATTCCCTTTGACGCTGTCCCCTTCCTCAAGTTTCCCTCCAAAAACCAGCTAGCCAGTCAGCGCGCTGGGGCCGTCAGTCGACAAGAGTGCCGAATAACTTATATTAATTATTTTAAATTTTGCCAGCAGTTAGTCAAGGTAACAACTGAAGCGGTTTTTGCACCAGAACAGTTTGAAGTAAATGCGACATCTACACTACCAAAATCATAGAAACAGCAAACAATGCCGCATATCTGACACCTCATGGCGAATAAAAAGTAAGCAAAGATAACTTCTACTACTCAAATCATTAGTGGCATACATCACAATTTTAAAACTTGATATGCAAAAAATAGGCTAACTAGCCAAATTTATTTCTCATAAAGGAAGAAATTTATTTTCTGTCCTACACACCGAAAATTCTCCTTACCAACACTTTCTTTACCATCATACATTTGCTCTGTTATGCTTGTATGACCATCAGGATTTGAAACCGTCAGCATCGCAGTTCCTTCGAGATCTGAAAAAGAAAAGAATGACGAGCAAGACTCGCAAATATGTCTACTATCCGTAGTTAGAAATCCTTCTGCTATCACACTGTTTTCAATACTTGAGTGTTTCGCAAATGAAACTCAAGGTTAGCAGTTGTAAAAATTTTACTTACCAGTTGGCACTTCACTACTGTACGCTGTGGCTCTGCCACTATCAGGCGACAAACTAGTCGGTATTCCAGCAGTCTCCTGATCTGAAAAAAATAACAAAAAGTTTGTTCCAGTCGTTAGTACAGCAATATCGAGCAAATCCAACTGTAGTTAACAGATGAACTCATTTTAGCACACCAGAAAAAATTCATCTACTAATCTGTGCACCAGAACTTTCATTACCGACATTTCCATCACCATTGTACGTTTTTGTTATGGCGCTGGTTTGACTGTCAGCATTCAGAGCAGTCGGCATTCCAGTTGCTTCCGGAACTGAAAAAAATAGCTGCTCTGTAAGATTCATAAACGTTTTTATCAGCAAAGGTTCAAAGGCCTTTCTTTTCGGTATTAAACTGTTTTCAGTACTTAGAAGGTTTCGTTTTTAGTACTTGAAAGATTAACAACTATAAAAAATTTTGCTTACTGGCTGGCGTTTCATCACGGTACGTTGTGCTTCCTCCACTGCCAGAGGGCGTGACAGTTGATATTATGTCACTTTCCTGACCTGAAAAAAGAGCTAGGAAAAGCATTTCTGCATCTTTAATATGCCAATATTTACAAAAAAGAAATATAAATAAACTACGTAGGTAAAATGCTCTACGCCAAAAAATTTTGTTACCCGTATTTTCATCATTATCATTCGTTTGTGTTGTAGTGCTGGTTCCGCTATCAGGATTGGGAGCTGTCGGTATTGCAGCTGCTTCAGGATCTGGAAGAAGAGTGATTAGATGGTAAGTAATTAGTCAACGTTGCGATCGAAACAGTAATCGAACCAGGAAGATTATAAGTAATGCAATATCTACACTACTGAAACTATTGAAAGAGAAGACAATGCCTTTCAAGAACGTCGCAGCTCAGGTCTTTACTGTAATAAAGCAAATAAAAGACAGACGGAGGGAATTTTTACTACCCGAATCATCACTGCCATACATGCCAGGCCAACCACCAGATACACCAAAACAACTTAAGTAGACGAACTCATTTCGGCTTAATTGACAGCTCTTCTACTGCTCTCTACCCCGAAGTTTTTCTTGTTGTTATTTTCTCTGTCATAGCTGCTGTTTAAGATTCGTAAACTATTTTTATTATAAAGTTTGAAAATTTTTCTGTTCGATATAATACCGTTATCAGTATTTCAAGGGTTTTGCAGATAAGGCTGAAGGTTGGTAACCGTAAGAATGCTGCTCACCAATTGGCATTCTGCTGTGGTAAGCTGTGCTTCCGCCACTAATAGACGACGCATCAGTTGGTATTACTTCAGCCTCTCGATCTCAAAAAAAAGCAGGGAAGTTATTTCTTGTTCCTTAACACACTTATTTTGACATGACAGTTTTAAGAAATCTAGGAGGCCAAGATGACTCTAAAAACAACAAAAATACATCTAAGAGTTGGAGGTTTGAAAAATCGCCTTACCGCGTGTTTCATCACTGCCATACGTTTTCGCTGTAGCGCTCGCCTGTTCGTCAGGATTCGAAGCTGCCGGTATTAGTCCCTCCCCTTGTGCTAAAAAAACAGCTTGTCTGAGATTTCAGTAGGCTTATTTTGACACAATGCCGCTTGAAAGAAACCAGATAGACTAGTTCACCGTGGCACGTTAAAAGAGTTTATCTAGTGGTCTTCGCAACAAAAACTTCCCCACCGGCATTTTCAGCGCCACCATACGTCTTCGTCTGGCCGTCAAGATTTGGAGTCGTTGCTGATAAAACCGGGACTGTCGGTATCTCCTCTGCTTTGGAATCTCAAAAGGGAATCGGTTTGATTAAGATTTTTGTATTGACTGCACATAACTTTTGACAATGACTTTGTCTTATGCAAATATTTAGTCGGTGGTTCAAGTTCGCTCCTATTACTGCTTCTCCTGCGAGGATTTGGCGCTGCGGTTGACGGCTCTGCTGGGGAATCCAGAGATACAGCTGTGTAATTTGGAAATTTCAACTTTGCTCAGTCTCTGTTTTATTCCATACAAGGGGATGTTGCGCCTAAGGAACTCCGCCCTCATCCGCTACTTAGGTCTAGCGGTTTAGAAAGCTTACAGCTTGGCTTGTTGCTTATCAATACTTTCTTTGCTTTTTTTTCTCAACATCTTAGCGCTTACCATAACTTCTTTTTCTGTCATTGTCGCATTTGCAGCTACACTTTTGGTTCTGTGTGGTGGTCGTTCGCACGCCTAACAAGTCGTCTAAAACCGGTAATCTTTATGTCGTTTTTGGTGTTTGGGCAGTGACTAAGCTTTCCTTCATATCTGAATTTTATTTGAAACAGAAACTAGAGTTTTTGCTTATTAATAGTATGTAAGACTCAGTGGAAGTGCATTTGAAAGTTTCTTACTTTCTTGTTCATTGCCATCATCGACATCCCTTTTTTTTCTGTCACTGCGATGAACTGCTGAGTTTATCTGTTCTGCAACTGTTGCGGGATCTGAAAAGTAAGGTTTGTTAAGTGGTTTTTAACGTACATTTTAATATTCAGCATAGTCTTGTTTTATGCATAATTTTTCCGTTTTTTGTAAATTCGTTATTTTTCATTCTGTAGTTTATGTTTTACTTTAGTGTATATCTGCTATGGCAACTCGATGAAAGCATAATCAGAATTTTTCAAAGCACATTTGTTTTTAGTGGACGTTGATGTTGGGGAGGATCTGGAATGGTTCATTATTAGGTAAAGTTTTTACAGTAAAAAAGACTGTTCGTGCGAATTTAAAAATTTGAGATGCACTTACCATCCGCAAAAATCTCGGAAGACGAATGAGGTCCTAGTTGGGTTTCTTTTTGAATCGGTACAACCAATTCTACTAGGGGGGTAGATGTTGGAAATTCTGAAGATATTACCGATTAGCAAGGCTAGTCTTAAGTTCTTTACTTGCTGTGCTGAGCTCCTAATAATACAGTCGCAAATAGCTTTTTTACGCTGAGACATCGCTGTTTTTAACAAGGCTCACCCTGCGAGTATCCAAGCAGAAGGTAGAAACAAAAAATAAGAAAAGATGTTTCCATGCCGTTTCTTAACCAATTTGGAATTGAACAGTTTTCTGCTGTCGTTATCCAACAAATCCAAGTACCAATTCCTAAAAGTTAAGTGAAGAGGAATTGATCTAAAGATCTGAACTAAAAGCTGGTACGAAGCTGATGGTTTACAAAAATTCTTAAAGGAAATTACTCAATATGAAATAACTAAAGATATTTGTTTATTGTTCCCGCTCTTTTACTTTGAAGGCAGAGACGGAAGACATAGATAAGGAACAGTGGCGGTAAGAAGAGAAAAAAATGAAAACAGAGCTTAAATAAAACTTCAGAAATTTTGCGCACGAGTATTATCAAATGTTTATGTTTTTTTTCGCTTTTTATAGATACGGAAGAGGAATGGAAAACCTGCTGCTGGAATACGTACAAAGCGGCTGCATTTTGCTATGGATTTAAAACAGTTTCAGGATGTAGAAGAGGGAGAACTAAAAAACGCGCTCTTTGCCAACTTAAGGTACACGGAATCGTAGGATTTCTTTAAAATATTGTTTGGCTAAACGTATTTTGAAACTCATAATATGTTCGTTATTTAGAACATTCAGGAATTCAACATTCTTCTGAAGGAGTATGGCAGTTTGCTTCGGAAAAATGTGGGATTTGAAAAGCTTCAGTGGCAGAAATCATGATATGCAGGAAAAAAGCCACAAAAAGTTAAGTAGTATGCTTGCAGTTCAAATAGAATATTTTTTGAAAAAGTTTTTGAATATTAAGCAAATAAGACTTCAAAGTTTATTTCTTCTCCTGTAATGAATGACGGCCTACAGTTGTAAGTCTAGATAAAGGGCCGAAAAATGGTAGTTCTAGTTCGCAGTCCAATTCTGGTGCTGAATTGCTTTTCAGGGTTGACTGGTATTTTTTGGTGATTTAGATAGCGGACTTGAATCAGGAGCGAAATTTCATTGTAATGTAATGTTAGCGCGGCTCTCCTCCCTAATTCCGCAAACCTAATCTAGTGTAACTTTTGACGTTCCACGCACTTAGTTATGCAATTTCGTTTTCTTAAAAAGTAAAAGGTTCTGAATAGAAATCTTAAGAAGTTGTGCAGAAGCTTTCCCAAAACCTTTTGCATGTATTATGATCTAGAAATTTTTATGTATGCGTTATCACATACTGCAGTGGTGCTAAAAGTCAGGTTTCTCTGTAAAAAGGGTAAAACTGAGAAATTATATCAGTAGGTACGTACAGATTCAGGCGGCTACCGAATTGCAACACATTAAGATGTTTTTTTTACACTTAGCATGTCGTGAACCTAGCAAACATTCCTTTGTTAGGCGCTACTTCCTGTAGTATCGAAAATCATTCTTGAATAAAGGTACAGCGTAGTAATAGTTCTGTCTTCCCCCTCACCTTCTTCAGCATTGCAAAGGCGCACTAAAACCGCATAAGAAAAAATAGTCGAAATTTACAAGGGGTATAAAATGTGTAGAAAAAAATAAGTAAAAGATTTTACATTTTTTGCCGAGACTTATTCTTTTTAAAAGCCACGATTCTGCTTTTAGACTCAGGATCTCGCGCTTTTTTTATCTTACATATGTTTCATAATTCCCTTAACCTCCACTCACAAGAAACATTATTTTTTTCTTATTGATCCACCTACCTTTTAGGGTCCAACAAAATGTAAATACGAGGGTTTCTTAAAAATTGAATTCTACAGAGCTGTTTTCGTCAGCCTTCGCAAAAGCAACTCACCTATAGATCTACCTAAATTGCAACAGGCTTTAATAATCAACAAAACATCTACTGCGATACTCTGCTAAAAAAATTTATAAGTTTCTATTCCTTTGAACTTCTGGAAGTTTTAACAAAAATTGAAAAAATCAAAGGATTAAAAGACAGTTGTAGCAGAATAAAATATTTAAAGCTAAGTTAAATGAAATCAAGAATTAATAGCACACGTGGGGATATTACTCGTTATTGGAAATTTCGGGTTTAAAAGATGGCAAAACTCTTGTTCAAAAGATTTCGAAATACAGGTTTTTGTGGAAAGATAATTTCTTTTTGCTTCCTTTCCGCTTTTTTGTTTTCAACTTTTGCTCTTTCTCACTTTGCTTTGTTTTGAAGGCCTACACCAAAGATCCAGAGTAGGAAGAAAATGGACTTGGTTAAAGAAGAACAGTTAAAACTAGGTATTTTTTAGCTTGATGAATGCGAAATTTTCGTAAAACGCTGGGATGCTACTAGCCTTACTTCTCACTTCTGGTGCCACCAATGCTTGGCCACGTTCTATTTAGGTTGAAATTTGCTAAAACAATTCTTTGGTCACTTTAATCCAATGTGTGGAGTCGCAAGTACATGGTTTAGCTTGGCTATTTCTGATTTCCTAGGTAATTTTTACAAAACCTTGTTTATTTTGCATAATCTATGCCTCTGAAATACTCAGCAGATGTATTCATTCTACCAAAACCCATGTTTTTCGAGCAATAGTGAGTGGGTGAGCATCAAAAAAGTTTTTAGAGCAAATGAAGGAATCTATCACTCTTTATTCACATGCATCTTGAACAGCCGCAAGATTTATCAAGCAACAGTTACTAAAACTTCTTCACAAAATCTTTTTCTTGCAAAACACCAAAAGTTTAAAAACTGTAGACCGCAAGTAGTAAGAAGGATGAAGAAAACAACGTTAAAGTGGCGAACCAAAGTGGGATAGCCGAAACATTTGCTCAAATACTTGCAGAGTAATGGTTTGTATTATGTAGTTACGTTAAAGAAAACAGGTTGAGTATTGAAGAAACCTGCCAATTATTGTACAGTGATGGGAAGAAGATTGATTGGTAAACGCACAGCGTTAAGAAAATACTAAGGATTACATTATAATTGATGGCATTTCTGGCATCTTCTAGTTTTGATTCAACATCGTTAGCAGATAACAATTGCGACCAGGAACGAAAGAAGTAGGAAGAAAAACTTAGATACACTGAAGCAAGGAATTCAAAAAAAGTAGGAAAGTTTTTTTGTTCTTTTTTAGATAGCTTAAATCAAAGATGTTCTAAAGAGTGTAGAAAGAAACTGTATACTGTATTTTTATCTAGAATATTTAAAATAGAACGACAAAAATCTGGCTAAAAGGGAAAAGCCAAGGAAGTAAAATCATCAGAATAAGAATGGTAATTGTAATCAAAAATTGGTAGGATGTAAACGAAGATCAAATTTGTAGAAATATTTAGTTCCGGTTAATAAAAAAAAAAGAAAACTGCATGGCGGAAAAAAATTTCAGTTGAAAAAAATTCTATAGAATTGGTATAAACCTTTATTCAGTTTTAATACAGTTCTATAAAAAGAGCATGTGAGAAGGAAACAGAAAAATAGCTATACATTTATAAAACGATACAAGAACTATTTGCACTTTTGGATTATACTAATTGGAAGAGATAATAAAAATATAATGAACACTACCTTTCTATACAAATGGATACGGTTGGCACCTCGTGTAACTGACGCATTAAAAGTTATACAAAAGTTGTCAGCTTAAATCCTAAAAAAAAGAAAAAGAATAAATAAATTATAACAAAAAATTGCACTAAAAAAATTGGCTCAATTGCAAAATAAATCATTAATTACATTAAGCCACATAAAAATCAATGTCACTATCTGTATATTTAAGCAAAATTTCCAAATTAACTCAAAATTATTGTGCTATATAAATGAAAATAAAAATTAGAAGCTCTTTTAAGCATATTTTCCAGAATATTCACATTTTTTTTTTAGAAGCTACCACTGGGAATAATTGTCTTCGAAACACAGCTATTTAATTTCAATTAACTTTTTACACTCTATGTCTGAACGTGTCTGTGGTCTTGTATACCCCATCAGAAACATTGCTGCTGTTCTGCAGTACCACAACTTCAGTATACTGTTCTGTAGTGAAATGAACTGTTGAAATGCAGCAAAAAATTTATAGATTCTGCACTCGTTAATGATCCTCTGTTAAACACTTTATTTGAATGTGAAATCGTTCGAGTACTTCAGAAGCATTCAGTAAAAACTGAACAACAATTAATACTTTTATTTTCGTTGAAAACACATGCCTGAAGTTGTCGGAAGTTAACAGGTCAACAAAACACAGCAAAGGATTTTCGAGGAATTTTTTGCCGCTTACATAATATAACGGAACAATTATCACAATAGGCTTTTTTTATTCATTATTATATGTGCAATAACATTATGACATAAACTGGTTTTAAAATGTAAGTATTTTTTTCTAGAATTAAAATTGATACAAGTATACCTTTATATGGTGTAAAACAGACTTTTCTATTATACCAGGGAAATAGAATATTGAGTAGATGTTTCTGTCACTCTTTTTTTAATTTCAGATCTTCAATTGCATGCTTTCTTTCAAAAGTAAATCTAGAGTTTTTTTTTTTGTCAGTTTTTTAACCTAAAAAGACAGACTGTATGAGGAGCAAATGTAAGTGCTTTAAGTACAGAATATTTTATCTTGATTTATCAGTGACCTTGTTAAGTCGTTTTTTTCAAGTTTTCAACATTTTAATTGCTATTGGTCACCAGTCAAATCAGATATAGTCAACCGCTCTATCTGAATCTGTATCACTGAACTTTCTGTAATGTTAAGGATAACAAATATTTGTAATAAATCAATTCAGTTTACTACATAAGGTATCATTAACTGACGAAGTTGAATGCGTTTGAAAAAGATTTTCTAAATGATTTAGATCCGTGCATTGCAAAGGTAAATGACTAAAGTGTGACATATAACTGTGCTGAAGAGCTGTTTTTAGACGCATCTTTCTTTTAAAAAAACAGCAAAAAAA